CAGTCCGTAAGGTAGCGGCCTCAAGCTCATGCTCATGTTTCAACTGATTGCATGGAATGGTGAATTTCATCCAAAGAAGGAAGAGCGAATATGGAGTGTGAGAGTTTGAGGTCTGTATTTTCAAAGGTATCACGTGACTTAGCAAGTTTTTTTTTTTTTTCCTTTTCTTCCATGCCCCGCATCCCGAACGGGAGCCCTTCCAAGGTTTTTGTTAGTGCCCTCCCACCGAATTGATGGGGAAAAGCAGTTTCTTGCCCTCTCAAGGAAAGTCTTATTACCTGGTGTACTTTACTCACACACTAAGACTTGTTCGTTCATTGCAGTTACTATTAACTTCATTCAGAAGACAGGTGGAGAAACTCTCCCCTACACACAGAAAGCAAACTTTTCCCTTCCTCCTTCTAACATACCCTATCACTTTTGCTGAGTCCATCAGAAAACCCCAATCAAACTACATTCCTCTCTAAATCAAACTAAAACCAACCAGTACGACCTCAAAAATCCACAAACCAGATTTTGAGCCTTACAGTACTGTACACCCTTGGTTAACCACTAAAAACCACGAATAGCCCACTAGAACATAAATTACAATCAAATCACCGAAAGAAGACAGGGGAGAGAAAAGGTGATAGCAGAAATTTTCCGAAAAACCAACTCAGAATAAATACCACGAACCCACCGCACACTCCACAAAAATGCTCAAGGTTAACGCCAGCAACAGCAGCAAGAAATAGAAAAATAGGGAAAGTAAACTACAATTATTATATCACAGAATACGAGTTCCGAACAACCTGTGAACCCGTTTCCATTGACCATCCACGCTTAGAACGCCATACTCCTTGAGACAGGCGTCGAATATACTCCCAGACAACTGAAGAATCGGGTGCTCCTCATTCTCGTCCTGACACTCGTCATCGTCAGTCTCACGGTCGGCATTTAAGCGCCTTCCAAGTTCGTCGTACTTGAGATGTTTATGTGCAACTTGGTTTTGTTTGGTATTGCGGCGTCTGCGCCGCTTTCTTCCGCACGGAGCTTCAGGCGGAGTGTCAGACTGAAAAGCAGCATTTTTCCGAGGTGTTCTGGACTCCAGCTGTCGACCCTTCACCTCTCTGAGGTTTCCCCAAAGGATGAACAGCTTTTCACGCAGTGCGCTTAGTTCCTGTCGATCCGTGCGGAGACTTATCATTTTTGTTAGCATAGTGAGTTGGTATGAGTCCACTTGTGAATCTCTTACTTCGCGGCTGGCCGTCCTAACAAGTACTCCGCGTCAGGCCCTTCGACAATCACTCGGAGAGTTGCACCATCTTCGCCCTCAACTAACAAAGCAAACCTCCAAGTCCACCCACTGTGCTTCGTTTGTAGAACGGCAAAGTCTTCTAGTTGTTGGGGCAAGTAATCGATAACTCTACAACGAATCTTGTAGATTCTGTTAGCGAACGGGCCATCTAAATCTTGTGGTTCGGCAATCTCGGAAATCGGTGTGATAGGCTGGCTGGCTTTGAGGGCCCGGACTTAAGGCCATTCATTAGCATCGACTACAAAACAAATCGCTTAAAAGAAAGAGTCATCATACTATGCGCATTCACTTCCATCTTCCTTTCCTTCCCTTGCTCCTTCTTAGGCTCCTCCAGCTTCCCCTCCATCTTCTCCGCCATCTTCTCCACCATCTCCTTCTCGTATCTTAGCCTGTCGTCTTCAAACCTCCTCGTATATTCTTTGCAGCGAATCGCAATTTGCTTGACCCTAGGGTCATTCATATCCTTTATCAGACTAACCAGAACCTTGTCTGGAAACTGCCGATCCCCATTCAAAGTGCCCTCGAGTTTCCCATCCCCATTCCTCTTTGCACGTACATTTTGAAGACTAACATGAGCACCAACATAGAACAACCTATTGGCGGCCACGGCATGATTATCCCACAGAGTTACTTGAAGAGTATATTGCCCCCATGGACCTGGCCAATCCTGATTTCCCAAACCCCTTCCCCGACCAGTATAGTCGAAGTCATCGTCATCGCCTCCAGCTCCGATCCTTCGAGACCCACCCCATTCGTAGGAATGTAACATAGAATTCTTAGTATAGTCCGTAAGGTAAACCGTGTAGTTACCATTCCCCGGGAAGGTTTTGACAACAACCCCTGCCAGATCGTAAAATGAACCAATCCGCATATCCCTAATCAATCCAGACCTTCGCCTCTGGCTGCTGCTACCGAGTTGGTATGACGGGCAAGTGCCTGGGGCCGCACCTTTCGAGACAAAGGACTCCCGTCGAGACTTCCACCACACTCGCAATCCCTGAAAATAGGCCAGCTCGTCTGCTTTGATTTTGAGACTGGAGGGATATGAAGCTATCGATGGTATACCCTTCTGGGTCGGAAGATAAGAAATTATCCAGCTTGTATCAAAGGTAGATAGAGCGAGCAAGCGACCATCGTGTTTGATCACCTTGACCCTCCGGATCAGAATTAAGTCACTGTCAGATTTAATTTCCGGGAGAAGTTCCATGTTGGGCCTAAAGATGCGGATGGTCAACGATGTTTCCGGAAGAGCGCGAGATCTATCACAGAGAGTGATAGTAGCCATCCAATCTAGAGGTAAATATCAGTTCCACTTCTTTTATCACTCATGCGGGGAAAGAACACCTGTGCCTCTTGTAGCTACCGGAGGGCGAAAGTCGACAACCACCCCTGCCAGATCGCAACACTCTCCAATCTTAGTGTCGACAGCGGTAGCGATAGAAACACAGCCCTTAGGGAGTGGTGCCCCCGCCATGATTGCGAGTCCCTTCGTTTGAGATGGTATGAAGATGGGTTGGACTAGTTGGATGGTGTTATTGAGTGTTTGGGCAATGGGGTGACAAGAAACAAGCTCTAGGGATCAGAACTACTCTGGAGTGACACTCCGCGCCCTCCTCGCGTTGAGGCTCAAATTAGGTCAAACTCAAATTGATTCACCACCAATATCATCTCTTTATCTAATCTCATCTTCCCATTCTAGCATGGAGGCTCGGCGCAGCAAATAGGACTCTAGGATAGTCTAAGCTCCATTCCACCCCTACCCAAAACACTGATTACTAAGACAAACAAAAGCCTTTTCAACAAAATAATCTATTAAGTGGAAACGGTTTATCTGACTGAACCTCGTCCATTTCCACACCAATTCTTCCGGGCTGGATACTATCCGACCCTCTATTACTCACCCTCTCTCTGGCCATAAAGCCGTCTATTAATATGAACGTGAGTTTCAATACTCTAAGGCTGGAACGGTTGAGGAGTGCGTTCACAAACTATCCAGAAGAACCCAGCGAATAAATTGACAATTAACCAAAACCCCCTTCTAGGTAGCTTCCTGAACGCCTCAGCGGTTACTCAATGCCCTTTCGAGACTCCCCGAATAATCTCTACTGTCAACCGTCGGCCCTATAGCTCCACTGCTCCCCAGCCCAACCCCATTACCCCCCCTCCGGCTGCCATTCTTCCGACTGTCAATCCTACCCAAGGGACCCAGAAGTCCGCTGAAGCGCAAAGAGAGTTTCCACGGAAGGATTGGTGGGACATCGCTGCTGGGGTTGTCATATCACGGCCGCCTTTGCTTACCAGGGATCTTCCCGAGTTCGAGCAATCCTACTATTTCTATCAACGACGGTTGAACGATCGCCTGCAACTCCCATTCGCCCGTTGGTTCTATTTCAAGAAGGGGACCCTTGCCGAAGACGAATGGAAACGGAAACAGGTCGCTGAAGAGCGTTATCAACCCTATGGGCCTCGGGCATGGGCTGATGAGCTGCTGAAAGGCAGCACCGAGCACAAGGTTGATCCGTTGAGAGATTATGAGCATCTTGTCGCAACTACGGTTACCGGAGAAGAGGAAACCATGTCAATTATGCAGGCCAGACAAGAGTCCGCTAGGGAAGCCGAGGCTCGGGGGGAGGAGGTCGAATACCCTTCAGAAATTGTGGAGAAACCGTTCCCGCGTACAACCCAAGCGGATATCGAAAACAACACAAAGAGACTAGACAGGAAGATGAGCCGAACATTGTACTTGGTGGTCAAGAAGAAGCGAGACCAGCATGCCTCAGCGACGCTTGACGGGCCGTCGCATCCGCAACGTAGCGT